CTAATGGTGCAAGTCCATCTGGCGTCTCTGTGGCTTGGCTTCTTCAGTTGTAAAATGGGGTGAAGATGTGGCACACGGGTTTCACTGTTGCTGGGAAGGTTGGATGAGCTGCTGCCGGTAAAGTCCTCAGAACGCGTCTGGCTCAGTGTTAGTCCTTAGCGGTGTGAATCAGTGGGGACCAGGTACCTCTGAGCCACCTGATTTCATTCTACACCCATCCTTACAGCAGGGTTTAGTGTCTCAAGGCATCCTCTAAGTAGATCCAACCCCACAAGTGGACTAATAAGAAAGGAGACTTTACCAAGTATCTCAGGGGGAGAAGGAGGATGAGGTTTCTTTGGGAGTGCTCAGTGTCCCAGCTCGAAATCCCTATTGAAAATCTGACCCCTTTCAAGCTCTTGGTACACCCTCTGCTGGGCCTCCCCAGTCCTGCAGTTTCCATGGCCTCTGGGACTGGGCCCCCCTCGCTCCTTCCTCTTAGTCTTTTTACAGAATCCACTTTGGGTTTTGCTCATTTTCTGTTTTCTCCTATAAACTGAATGTTTGTGTCCCTCTAACCCCCCAAAATAAGTTGAAATCTTACCCCTCAAGGTCCTGGTATTGGGGATGTGTTTTTGGGAGGTCCTGAGAGCAGAACTTTCAGAAGGGCTTTCTGCTCTTGAGAAGCGACCTCCAGAGAGATCCATCACCCTTTCTGCCACATGAGGGTACAGCCAGAGCAGGCCACCCATCTATGAACCACAGAGCAGGCCCGCAGCAGGCACTAGGCTTGCCAGGACCTTGATCTTGGACTTCTCAGCACCCAGAACTGTGAGCAATGAGTTGCTCTTGTTTTAAGCCATTTTGTGATATATTGTTATAGCAGCTCATAAGGGACTAAGCCATTTTCCATTTTCCTAATTTCTAGGCTTATATATTCAGTCTCTCAGTCCTTTTTTCTTTCTTTCTTTCTGTCATTTTCTTTCTTGAAAGAGGTTGACCAATTTAGAGAAGGCTAGGGATCCGGATCCTTACCTCTTGGGGACTGTTCAATTGTCTCCATGGTCCATTTTACTGTGACATCTTTTGGACATATATGTTATTTTATCATCACAGTGATAATCTGATGAGAGAATCGATGGTCAGAACTCCAAGGGCTGCTGGGCTGGGGTTGTGGCTCAGTGGTAGAGTGCTCGCCTAGCACATGCAAGGCGCTGGGTTCGAGCCTCAGCACACATAAAAATAAATAAATAAAATAAAGGTATTGTGTTCAAGTACAACTAAAAAAATATATTTTTAAAAAAGAAGAATTCCAAGGCCTGGGGGTGTAACTCAGTGCAGGAGCACTCACCTGGCATGCACAAGCCCCAAGTTCAATCAGAATTTAAGGCACTGGATGGAATGCAAATGACCAGCATCATTAAAATTACGACAAAACAAGATCAAGTAACAGTTTCTTTAGGAGGCTTCGGAACCAGGAACCAAACTGCCCAACTCAAGCCCAGAGAACAAATCTCACCACTCATGAGAATCAACTTAAGACAGCCTAACAGCTTTCCCTTAAAGTCTCCATTAATGCCTTTTGTACCTGGCCTTTCTCATTGATCCACGTATAGCAAGGCATTTTAGTGATGGCACAGATGCCCCTGTGACTGGCCAAGAAGAAATTTAGAGCAATGTGATTGTCCATCTCTGCTCATGCAGAGGAAGTGCAACTGATTTGTATTCCACTAAGTGCAGGGCGGCTTCGTTGCAACTTCTGCTTGAGCTAATGATGTCTCTTGCAGTCTCTGCTATCTGCATCACTCTCACCAGCATGAACAATGAAACAGTAATTCCCCCAGGGAGAGTGCTGGAATAATTATGACTGGCCTGGTTTTGGAGTTCATGTACAGTGGGGATTTCTAAAGTATGTGAGGCATTAGTCTGAGGCAAACAGGATTAGATGTCCTGGGCTGAAGGAAGTCGTATTCAGCAGGGACACCTGGAGATATAGGAAAAAAGAGTTATTCATGACATGAGGTGAAAACCCAAGCTTTACATTAGCTGGGATACATATTTGGATTGCAATTAGCCTCATTTAGGAGGCAAGTATTTGGATCATCATCCTATTAGGGTTGTTGAATTTAAATTTAGAAATACACAGGGTCTGATCAATACTCTAATAATTGGTTCCTTTTCAAGGAGAGAGGGACACTAGCAAAGTTACAGGTTGATTCGCTTAAGATCATTTGTCCATGTAATTGCAAGCGGAAACATCATCGGTTGTGATTCCCTAAGGTCTTGTTTAATGAGATTGGAATTGTTCAGAGATTTTTATCATGGGGATATGGTGATGGATGATACATTCAGCAGTCAGTAAGACTGAGGGAAGTGGCTATTGTTGGGGATAACCCAAGAATGTCATTAGAATGAGTATGTTCCAGACTAACAATTATCTGGAATAAAAGGGAAAGAGGCCATTATGGAAAGACAAAAGCTAGAGGTCCATATAAAATAAGCAAGCAGATTAAACAACAACCAGAGTTAGGCAGGGATCTTAGCCTAAAGCCTTGGGAGAAAACTGTCCTATTTGAGGTCATTGGCTTGTTCTGAAGGTCTTGGGTTGGCTGACAGCTTCAGAAGACTGGCTGTTTCTGGAAGGTATCTGAGAATCCTCAGTTTGAAGCACCTTGTTGGATTTGCTTTTCAGTTTTAAGGATTCAAAATTGTTTTTTTAGTTCTGAAATATGAGCCCAGAGATTAGCTCCTCAGGATTTCACTGTTGTATTCATTGTTAATTGTACAGATAAGGCTCCTTGCAATGAAGTTCAAGAATAGTTCCTCTTGGATATCTCTTCCAATAGATAATATTTCCTTGTTGGAGATCATGAAGAGGCTGTTAAGGAGCATGTGGGACTAACAGCATAGTGAACTTGGTGTTAGGACTGAGTATAGTACATGAATCTGTTGCAATATTGTGGCATGTCTATGTGCAGTAGGACTGAGTCTGCTATCAGAGGTGGAATCTCTAAATGTCTGGGCCTTCCAAAACCGGATCACGCGGCCGTAAAGGTTATTGGAATGGGAATATGTTCGATCAAGGAGACTCAAATGGTTCACAAGGTTTTGTTAATCTAAATGTAAATATGCCATTGATTCTTTCAACCTCTCCAGAAGATTTTGGGTCGTAAGGATGGTGTACTTTTGGAAGAAGATTATAGATTCTTTATAATAATTTCACAATTGAGAAAAGGGTAATGACTTAACAGTGTTCTCATAAAATGTGTGCCTCAGTCACTTGATATAAAAGTTGTTTTGCCTCATGTTGGAAACATAAAATCAAGTAGCTTTTAGAAACTGTAAGGGATGTAGCTTTTTGGCAAGGAGGTGCCATGGGCCACCCTGAAAATAGATACACAGTAAATAAAATACATTTTAAAAATTGATTTGATAGTGGTTAAAACAAACAAATAAACTCTTGAGTCTTGTTCCAGGCCCTACCTCCCTTTTACAGATTTTCCAGGGATATGCTGTTGACAGGTAACACATGACTTCAAAATAACCTTACTGTCTTTTTTAAAGTTTCACAACTAATGCTGATTTGCGATAGTAACCAATTGGTTTACACTACGATGAGTATTTCCATGAAGAAATGTAATTTCATGCAGAACAATCAGATTTCCCTATTCTTTCTTTTCAAAATCAGGGACTAGACACTGTCAAGGTAGAAAGACCCAGTGCAAGAAAGGTGCTCAACTTATGGGAAGGTCAAGAAGCAGAGAGAGACAGGAGAGGGGCAGGGCCAGCAGGTAAGGTGAACCCTTCCTGAGCATAGGCCAGTCACCACCTCCTTCAGTCTTGCCCCACCTGCCTACAGTTACCACCTAGTCAGTCCATTCAAACCAGGACACAACTTGCTTATGAATGGAGTGTCCTCTGGAACTCTATGAAATAATCCCTTTGTTGTGTACTTGTGGTTAGTAGTTTTTGCTGATTTCTGTGGCATAAATGCTCTCACCGTGTCTAATTTCAAGGCACCAACTTTTGAATGGGAGTTGAAAAAGATATGCAAAGTGCACCATTATTATTGGGTTTCCATCACACAGATACAATGGATGAAAGTAGTCTGAGAAGCATAGATAATAAATATAGTAACATAACTAGAAAGTGGTGAATTTTGAGTATTTTGCTTTTAATGTCATTCTGTGTAAGCTCATATAATTTAATTTTAGGAGTATCTATTTAAAGACTAGCTCACAAAAATACTGAACATTTAACAAGCAGCTTTCACAATCAAGTGTGAAACAGTGTAAATGGGCTCTAGTACACTACTGAGTGAGGACAATGCCAGGGATTACTATAGGCTTACCTAAGATGAAGATGAGGAGGAAACGGAAGGCAGGGATCCTTTTTATTTATGTCTTCAGCACTTGTAGGTTATTCAAGAGCCAAAGTAGTTCATTGATTTTTCCCCCCTCCTATATTCTGGGCATTGTTTTAGGTACTAGGGGGAGAAGGAGCACTGCAGCAAAAGTCAAGGCTCTTACATTTATTGGGGGGCTATGTAGACACATGTCTGTGTGTCCGGTGATGGGGAACAAACGTTATGGCTAAAAGTTCTGTAGTGCCAAAGAACAGGAGTGGAGCATTGCCATCTCATATGGGATTGTCAGGAAGTTGTGAATGTCTTGGAACCTGACAGTGTGCATAAGGTTGATTCTGCGCAGATCTTAACAACAAGGTTGGAACACAAAGGAACGCTTTTTTTTTTTTTTCTTATGATGCCCATGCAATTGCACTTCTGATGCTCAGCAGTTCACCCAAGTGCGAAGTCCTTTCTAAAGTTCTAGTCTTGGTCTCAGAAACACTAGGGTTTAACTAGACCAATCAGATGCTCGCAGTCCGAATTTTAACCCTGACTCCTCCCATCTCCGCCAGAAGCCGGCTAAATGTGAGGACGCCCTTGCGCATGCTCAAAGACTCCAAATTCCTGGTATCCCGGCTACAGGTTTGCGCATGCGCAAGAGGGGGCGTTGCTGGTCGTTATCTGTTTTTGTCCCAAGGTCCTGCCGTACCGTCCAGGTGGCGAGTTGCATTCTGGTTCCGTCGGTGGCCGGTGTGTGGGGAACTGTACTTCAGTCTACCCGTCTCCGACGCCAAGGGCGTCATGAACCGCGAGAGCTTCGCCGCGGGCGAGCGGCTGGTGTCTCCGGCTTACGTGCGGCAGGGCTGTGAGGCCCGCCACTCGCACGAGCACCTCATACGGCTGCTTCTGGAGAAGGTACCGAGGTGTCGGTCCCCTCCCCAGCCGCGTGCCCGCGAGGCTCCGGCCCCGCCCCGCGCCCCGGTCCGTGCCGGGTCCTGCTAGGAGGCTGCCGGGTGGAGTCCTTGCCGGACGGTCGCAGCTCGGCTCGCCCCGCGCTGCTCGCGGCGCTCAGGTCCTTCCCAGCCTCGCCGCAGCCTGCGAACCCGGAGCCTGGCCTGCGGGGCTGAGGGGTCGGGGCTTGGAGACCTCTTCTCCGCTCTCCGAACCGAGTGGTCCCAGCCCAGCTCGTTTCCCCTTGTTTGCGGAAAGGGCAGAGTCCGAGTGTTTCTCGCTCCCAGGGACTCGGGGACACTGGTCCACTACGAGCCAGCTCGGGTCTCGGGGTGTCGCCCTGCCCGGGTGCCTGAACTTTAATTTCACTAGTTCGACAGCCCTAATTATGGCCCCTGGTTGGAGTCGTCTTCACTGACAACACGGTGTATTGGTTCCCACTCACTCTGACTTACTGAAACTTAAACCCCAGGATACGCGTTTGTCATCACTTCTCGCAATCTGTCAGACAGTCGTAATCAAGTGTAATAGGAATGTTGTGCCAATTTGAGGTTTCTTCACAGTGCTGAATTTTATCTCAATTTTAGGAGCAAGGAGCGTGGCAAAAAACACATTTAAAAAGTTTAAAATACATTGATGTAGGGTTTACATCGTCTTGAGAACGATGGTTTACTTGAATATAATTACTAGGGTTTTTTTTTTTTTAATTTTTTTTAGGGCAAGTGTCCAGAAGATGGTTGGGATGAAAGTACTCTTGAACTCTTTTTACATGAGCTTGCAGTCATGGATAGCAACAATTTCTTGGGCAATTGTGGTGTGGGAGAAAGGGAAGGGAGAGTGGCATCTTCATTAGTTGCTCGTCGTCATTACAGGTATGTTTTTTAAGTAGATGTGAAATCATTTTTTTTTTCTTTTTGAAGGATGGTAAACATAATGGTGGCAGTATTCGGCTTATAAAATTGTCCATTGGCAAACCACTTTATTGTTCAAACGGGCTTGGAATCCAGATTCAACAAGGAGATGGAAACAGTTTATCTGAGCAGGTGCTTTTTGAAGACAAAAGAGTAGAAGTACTAATATCTGGTGTTTCCCCTGTCAGGTTCTGGGTTGTTAACAGCACAACCCGAATGTTCTGAAAAGAATGTTTGATCTTGTGGTTGTAAGGGTTTTAAATACTTTAAGGTTGTTTATAGATTTCCATTTCTCTTTTAACATTGCAAGTTTTGTTTGAGAATGATTTATAGTTAGAACTTTAAAACATTGTCCATCTGTATCTAAGCTGAGTCCCATTTTATGAATATTTGTTTTTGTTGCAAAGAAATAGGAAAAAGTGTATTGGATTATTAATTCACTTTTATTCATTATTTCAGAAAGCTTTTCTTCAGTTCTGATAATCATGAAATTATGAAGTGATAGTGATTTTAAATATGATCATTTCTTTCTGTTTTTCAACCTTTCTGGAAGATAAATATAAAAACTCTCTTAAAAACTCCTGTCTTCCATGATTTTAAATCATGATGAAATTTTCCTGGGCGTAATAGGATCTTTTTAAGCTAAATTGTTGAAGTCAGAACTAATGATCATGAATGCATAAATTGAATGAAGATTTCATATTTGAAAATTTGTTTATAACATAGTTGGTATGTAATAAATGCTTTGTTTATGAGATTTTGATGGTAAGGAAGTGCAGAATTTCTGATCTGCTTAACTATAAATTACAAATTATTTCAGATTACAAATAGATTTTTTATTTTAAAAAGTATTTAGAGACTTTTTTAAAAAATGTATAATATCATATAGTTTAAAGTCAGTGGATTGTCACTGTTATTTTTAAAAAGCATATATGTCTTTTAAAATTAGGACAATTTTTGAAACAAGTTCATTGCCATTAGAACTTCTCTGGTTATATAGTGTAGTTTCTGTTGTTGCCTAACAAACCATGCCAAAACTTAACAGCTTGAAACAGTTATACATTATTATTTCTCATAGTTCTCTGTGTTAACTGGACTTAGCAGAGTGATGATTGTTTGTTTTGCCTCTTTGGTATAGTTGTGGTCAGATGTTGGCAGCCAGTTTAGTCATCTGAAGGTTCACATGGGCATTTTATTCAAGATGACTTACTCACATTATATGGGAACTCCGATGGCCTCTCTTTGACTTGGGCTCCTCCCAGCATGGCAGCTTGATTTGGAGAGAGGGCACCCTCAGAGTGAGCTGTTTAAGGATCCTGGTGGTGGGCTGGGGTTGTAGCTCAGTGGCAAAGCACTCACCTAGCATGTTTGAGACCCTGGGTTCGATCCTCAGCACCACATAAAAATAAATAAAATAAAGTTATTGTGTCCAACTACAACTAAAAAAAAAAAAAAAAAAAAATCCTGGTGAAACTGTAGGTGGGGCCTCTTATGAACTACTTAGAGGTTCCAGACAGTCATTTTTGCTAAACTCTTGCTGGGCAGGCAAATCACTAAAGCTAATCTGGATTCAGATGGAGGGGAAATTAGACTTCATCACCTGGTGTGGGCAGGGAAAAAAGAAATTGATGGTAGCCATCTTTGGAGCCTAGATACCATCACAAAATTGATGAAATTATTTCAATTTAAATAGGATATTTTCACTCTATTAAATATAGTTGATGACATATATATTCAATAGCTGAATATCGCCTCTGTTCTTTTTTGGTTATTGTGATTGAATACTTGTGTATTGAATCACTTAAAATACTGAGTGTATTTGTCCAGTCTTTGCCCTGTTTTTTGCTCAGGCTCATTCATGGGATTGGACGATCAGGGGATATTTCTGCTGTGCAACCAAAAGCTGCAGGCTCCAGCCTTTTGAACAAGATTACTAATTCTTTGGTCCTGGACATCATAAAGTTGGCTGGTATGTACTGTAGTAATCATAAGACATTTGGTGACCAAATTTATTTTATTAGTGCCTCCTTCTAAAAAGAATATAACTGGCTTTTTTTTTTTTTTTTTTTTTTTTCCGGTATGGGGGAATGAACCCAGGGTCCCTTAACCACTGAGCTATATCTCAGCCCTTTTTATATTTTGTTTAGAGACAGGGTCTCCCCAAGTTGCTTAGGGCCTCACTAAATTGCTGAGGCTGACTTTGAACTCATGATCCTCCTGTTTCAGCCTCCTAAACTGCTGGGATTACAGGCTTGCACCTGTGCCCAGCATAACTGGCTTTTAAAAGGACACACATATAAGAAGTGTTACTGAATAAGATAGAAAATCAGTCATAACCCCAGAGGATGAATTTGACAGTGACCTTTCTGGGAGTAAGTACAGAAAAACAAATACTCAGGCTATGACTCTTATTTATTTGAAAAAAGAAATATATCATTTCTCTAAAAAGGATGTTAGTTTTTCAGTGGTAACTAATTTTTGTTTTACTTCTTATTTTTAGGTGTGCACACAGTGGCCAATTGCTTTGTAGTTCCTATGGCAACTGGTATGAGTCTAACTCTGTGTTTCTTAACATTACGACACAGAAGACCAAAGGCAAAGTATATCATATGGCCACGAATAGACCAGAAATCCAGTTTTAAATCCATGATCACCGCAGGTAAAAAAAGAGAAGTGGCCTATATAGTGTTTTAAATATCCTAATGAGAAAATACAGAATTTTTATGTACAGATAGATAAATGAAAAATTAACTAAATCTGTTCCGTATTTCTTTTTTTAATGTAATAAAATATACATGATGTAAAATACAGTGGATATATTGCTTATACAACTTTTAGGTTTATAGATACTAAATGTTTACCATTAAAGTTTATATAATTATTATTTATGGGACCTATTGATTGCTAGTTAAATATACTCTTTCCGTTGAAAATTTAAACAAAAATTTTATATTTTAATCACAGAAGGCTCTTGTGAGTTGAGATGGGCCAGTGATCCTCAAGCTAGTGAAATCAATTACAGTTTTCTTTAAAGGTGAAACTTTGATGTTTGTGATTTGTTTCAGTCCTTGAATTTATATTATTATTTATGTCCATCTCTGAAATAAAGTGAGCTGTAAATTAAAACTGAAATATTGCCAGAGAATGAGCAGACTTGGACTAGTGATCCTTTTTGTTATCAATATCTGTTATTACTTCTGAAGATTCTATTTAATTTTTGTTTTTATTATTTTCCAAAGTTATTCTTTTTTTTTTTTTTGTCACATCAAAGTGTTAAAAAGGTTTGTGATCCTAATTATCTAGTCTTTCACATCATTTTGACCTGGCTTTGACTAATGTGAGCATTGTGCCAGGTCTTTATTACTAGAGGAAGGCTCATCAATCAAAATATTTAGAGTTCTTACATGGAACAGCAATGCTGTGTCAAGTTCCAAGATCTGACTTTATTTTCGTTCACCCTAACATTTAGATTTCTGGTTGGCTTGGTTAGGTTTTGAGCCGGTGGTGATAGAAAACGTGTTGGAAGGTGATGAACTGCGCACAGACCTGAAAGCTGTGGAGGCTAAAGTCCAGGAACTTGGGCCTGATAATGTTCTGTGTGTTCATTCTACTACATCCTGTTTTGCTCCAAGGGTGCCTGATAGGTAAACGATTTGTGGATATTGACCTTTACGTGTTTGTCAGTCTCTTAAATAAAGTGTTATATACTAATTCTAAAATATGCTTAAATAACATTTGGTGGTAAATAGTGAATGGTCCTAGGAGATTAGATTAACCTTATGGAAAAATAACATAATGGCTTGGGAAAGAAAATATTTACTGTAGAAGAAGGAAAAACAATTAGTATAGGGGTGGAGATCCCTTTGTGACCTGAATAGAAGCAGGCCATATATTTTCTTGCCTTTTTTGTTTTTTCGTGGTACTAGGGATTCTACCCAGGGCCTTGAACACACTAGGCAAGCCCTCTATCACTGAGCTGTCTCTAGTCTTTTTTACTTTTATTTTGAGACAGTCTTGCTAAGTTGCCCAGGCTGTCCTTGAATTTGCCATCCTCCTGCCTCAGCTTCCCAAGTTCCTGGGTTTACAGGTTTGCACCATATTCCCAGCTTGCTTTCTTGCTGTGTATCCTGTTTCCAGTCTCTTAGCATCTTTTTCCWTATTTAAAAAAAWTTTTAATTTTTTTTAATTAGTTATACATGACAGTAGAATGCATTTATGCACTTTCATTTCCTCATTGTTTTAAATAAAAATTTCTTTTCCAAGCTAAATGCTGAGTTTAGTTGTTTTCATTGCTCTCTGTACTTCTTTGACCTTATTGTTAGTTTTCAGATATAGGAACTATTAGTATTAACAGATTTTAAATGGAATATTTTAGGATTATTTATTTTCCTTTGAGATTTTTTAATTGGAAGATTAAATTCTGATGTTTATTAAATGTTCATAGTGGTTGTTTTTATTTTGAGAATGGTATAATTATTTAAGAAAATAAAAGTAAACAGGAAATAAAAACAAATATTTACTGTTCTAAAGAATAGCCACAAGTTTTTATTCTGAAAATGTAATAGCACTTTAGTTTGTTAGTACAGATTTCTGTTTTTAGAAGTAGTTGTTTTTGTTTCATTTTAGTATTTTAACAGAAGTACTAATAATTTGTAAGAACTATATTGACTTTGGACTTATTAATAAGTTACACTCTGGCTTTCATAGAATCTCATTATTTGGCAGTAATGAATGTATGTTAGCTTGTATTATAGACAGATTTGGAGAGAGACTTTTTAAACCATGCTCTTGAAAATTTACCTTGCTACATTCATGAACCGGTGAATTCTATTTTTGATTATATTGTATACACTTTAGTGGTTTTTATTCTTTACTTAAAAGCATTTAAAATTTGTATTGAAATATTTTTTCAGAGGTTTTATATTTGTGTTTATTCTTCATTTAACTTTTAAAATACTACTATAATTGAATATTGTTTTTAAAACAAAAACAATAGCAAGTAGTGAGCATATTATGATCATAGTCCTTCACTCATTCACTACTGCATATAAAATGCCTGCAGTGAATGTTATTTACTGGCCCCCTTAAGAAGTTTGACACTGAACACCACCTCTGGGCTGATGTTCTTCATCCTTATATGCTTCTCAATTATAATAGCGTCATCCTTCCTGATTTGGATCAAAGTCCATCAGTTCTACCAGATCCATTTCATTGGTCTCTTCTAATTCTTTCCTCTGATATAGGAGTTTTTCCAACAAAGAAAGTTTGTCAGGAGGGAGAAAGCCATTTTCAGGAAAGTTTACCTTAAACTCGATGGTTAGGGGACCCTTTCATTTGGTCTATGATAAATTGGCATACCTTCATTTAGCACACACTTTATATCTCCATGCTAGACAATATGACTGGATGAGAGGTGATGACTGTAGTTCGATTATCAAAGAGTGATACTGGCTTCTGGAAGCCACATAATGCTTCTACCAGCTATATGTCCATATACATGAAGAGGCCTTCTCCTTGTCAAATAAAAACAGCATGGACCCTCTGATCTAACACAACAATAATATCTCCTGGTTCCAGTTCTGGCTCTTGGTCTCCTTCACCTTGGAATGTTATCTTCAGTCCATCTTTCATGCCTTTGTCAATATTAGCTTCTAGAATCATCTTCTCTCAAACTATCTTCCTTCTATTGCAGCTTTTACATCTATCATTAGGACTGATCCATTCCCGCTGACCTGGGCTCTCCATGTACACAGACTGAATTTGGTGAACCATTCCAGGTCCTATCTGATGAATTCTTATTTGCATTCCAGTACCTTGGCATTTGGGACAGCACTCTACTGCCCCTTTCTTACCACTTCAGCCTTCACATTTGTCACAAATCACATTCTTTTGCAGAGCCAGTTTCTTGTGCACCATTATATAAATCTTCTAATGTTACTGAGAGCTGATGAACAACATTTTTGCCTTTTCTCTTTCCTTTGGATCCTTTTTTTTTTTTTTTTTAAGTGAGAAAGGAGAGAGAGAGAATTTTTAATATTTATTTTTTAGTTCTCGGTGGACACAACATCTTTTTGTTGGTATGTGGTGCTGAGGATCGAACCCGGGCCGCACGCATGCCAGGCGAGCGCGCTACCGCTTGAGCCACATCCCCAGCCCCTGGATTCTTATCCTTGGTACTTCAAGGCCAGTTTCCTGTAAGCCTTTTTCAATTCTTCCTGGGTGGCATTGGGTTTGACCCCCCTAAACATTATAGTAAGTGGTTTCTTTCACCATTTTCTACAGCTGGTGAGCAGGCTGGGGCCATTATAGGGGAGTGGGTGGGAGGGTTTTACTGTGCAGCTTGGGCAACTGCAGCTCCTCCACCTCTCCCCAAGTGTTCTGGAAAGTTCCCCTGTATTGAAATATTAAATAAACATTTCTATTCTTGTTTGTTCGTTTTGCTATCTAGGAAAAAATTTAATGTGATAAAGAACTCACATTTCCAAAAATAGCATATGGGGCTGTAGCTCAGTGGTAGAGCTCTTGTCTTGCATATGTGATAACTGGGTTTGATTCCTAGCACCACATAAAAATAAATAAAACAAAGGTATTGTGTCCATCTGCAACTAAAATAAATAAATAAATAAAAAATAGCATGTGGATATTTACATTGGTTGGATTATCTATCCTTGGGGAGAGTTTTATTTTTATTTTGACTAATGTTTACAGTATGCATGGCGCAGTGTTGAGTATTTTACATCTATTATCTCTGTTAGAAAAAAAAATGTTAAATTTTTTTAATCAGCAAAATTCTCATTTGTCACTTTATAGTAGTGTTATGTAATGAATGTTTCTTTTCTTTTTTTTGTAGTTGGACACAACACCTTTATTTTATTTATTATTTTTATGTGGTGCTGAGGATTGAACCCAGTGCCTCACATGTGCTAGTGAGCACTATACCGCTGAGCCACAACCTCAGCCCCATGAATGTTTCTGTTAAGAGGGAAGTTCAGGGGGCTGGGGATGTGGCTCAAGTGGTAGYGCGCTCGCCTAGCATGCGTGCGACCCGGGTTCGATCCTCAGCAGCACCACATACCAACAAAGATGTTGTGTCCGCCGAGAACTAAGAAAAAATAAAATAAAATGTTAAAATTCTCTCTCTCTCTCTCTCTCTCTCTCTCTCTTTAAAAAAAAAAAAAAAGAGGGAAGTTCAGGAAAAAATGGCATGTATAGTTAGTGATATGTTTGAATTTCTGATTTTATTAAATTTTACAATTACATTTTGATTCCTTTATGTCAAGTGTACTTCCTTTAATACCTCATTTTAATGGTATGGCATATATTTTATTTTGATTAGATAACTGGAATATTATAGGGGAAATATTCTTAAAAGAGATGTTAAAAGAAGGGTATCATTTCTTTTAATTAACACCTTAAATTAGCTTACATTAGTTGGATTATCTGATCCCTATGGAAATTATTTTTCTGCTTCTTGCTTTTTATTTAATGTATTTTCATAATCCTATTAATGCATTTGATCAGATTATTTAAAACTATACTCACAAGTGATTGTATTCTTTTTAAAATATAATTTTGATTTTATTATGGTACACTATTTTCAAGGAAGTTTTTTTTTTTTTTTTTTTTTTTTTTTTGTGGTGCTGGGGATTGAATCCATGGCCTTGTTCATGTGAGGCAAGCACTCTACCAACTATATCCCCAGCCCCAAGGAAGTGCTTTATTAGAGAATGTTTTTATTAGATCACATATATGTGAAAGTGCCTTTTCTCTTGTGAATATATGAATCACAGAAGGTCTGATTTGTTAAAAACATCTGATTACTTTTAAGTAACAAAATAATTTCTATATTGATTTGTGAAGCTTATGAAAATAGATGATAAAATGAGTTTTCAGTTCATAAAATTTAGGGATACAAATTGAAAATGAAAATTTTTGTTGAGCACAATAATCTTATTTCTATTTATAGTTTGAAAACATGAATACACATCTACTTAAAAAAAGAAAATGTATCATGTATAATGTATAAAATATCATGTATAAAATGTATTATATATAATGGATATTTAAAATATATCCTTTTAGAAGAAAATTTTTATTATATAAAATTTTATTATATATGCTTTCAAATTCTTTTATGTGAAAGGAAGCTTTAAAAGAAATAATTTTCTTAAACCATAGGAATTAGTTTTAGTTTCATAGTGAAGACATTTCTATTACAGATGACTTCAGTCATAAATAGCATTATTTTTGTGAAGGACCCTTTTTATTATGTACTGAGATTTATTAGCTTCATTTAAAGTTAGATTGAAATTGTCTTAATGTGAGAGGTGTAAAATGAAAAAGTGTGAGTGAATAATTACAGATTTAAGCAATTATTTAAAAGATTCTGCTGGTATACAAGGTATTAGAAAATGGCACTTATTTTGGTACTGAAACATTTCAACATCCTGTACTTTTAATACATTAAACTTATTTGAAAATGTATGTTTTATGATGGTTTAAAGTGAGTTTTCTGAAGATTTCCAGATGTGTTAATTATTTTGCAGATACTAGCATTGGTATGGTAAGCGACTGGTCGAATTTAAAAAAGAATATATCGTTTTGTGAGGGGTCAATATAAATAATCTTCTTGCTTTGTTTACAGGAATTTTTTTAATGATTTAAAAGTTACTATCTACGTAAATTTTTATATTTTTTCTTATTTATTGGTAATGTTAATTTAAAAGGTTTTTTTAGGCTTTTCTAAAGTGCTTGCTTTGTATTTCCAAACTGCTGAATTATATATGCTGAGAGAGTACAGAAGAAATTTCAGTGTCCCCCTGCCCCCTGTATACATTAATGTTGATTGTTAAGTTAAAAAAAGTTTCCACATTGTAATTTATAAAGCACAGTGTATGACTTCCTGTTGTGTATTTGTGCTTAGATTAGAAGAGCTGGCTGTGATTTGTGCTAATTATGACATTCCACATATAGTCAACAATGCCTATGGAGTGCAGTCTTCAAAGTGCATGCATCTTATTCAGCAGGTAAGAGTTTAAAAAGATATGTTAAAAAAAAGTAGATTTTGGGCTGGGTTTGTGGCTCAGTAATAGAATGCTTGCTTGCCTAGCATGTGTGAGGCACTGGGTTCAATTCTCAGCACCACATATGAATAAATAAAATAAAGGACTATTGACAAATGAAAAATAAAAATATTTTAAAAGTAGATTTTAACATTCACCAGGATAGTTATTTTTATCTTACAACCTTAAATAGTAAAAACAGTTATGTAGCACTCTCTAATATTGCTTAAATATTGGGTGCATTAGAAACTTCCATTCAGTATCCTCTCAGTAAAAGTCCTTATTCCTTGTTAGTATGGTGGTATTTTGGACAATACTTTTGTTAGTCCCGAATCGGTATGAAAGTATTTCAGTAGTTTTTAACTTTCTGAGAATGTTTCATGACCAGGATTCTCATTTTTCTAATATAGTATTTTAGAAATTTATAGTATTTTGTTCACATTTCCTATTGGTTCATTATAGTTGCCTTGTAGTATTTAAAAAACTGTACTATTTTAAAAACAATTGATGATTATGTTTTGTATTTAAGGAATCATTTTACCTTATTATTCTAGATTTTATTTCATTTAGAAACATTTTAGCATAAACTGTCGAGTTATGGGGATTTTTTGTTTTTTGTTTTTTATGTTTATTTTTGGTTTTATTTATGGTACTAGGGATTGACTCCAGGGGGGTTCTACCACTGAGCTGTGTTCCCTTTTCTTTATTTTTTATCTCTACATAAGTTGCTACGGCTGGCCTGGAACTTGTGATCCTCTAGCCTCAGCTCCTGTGTTGCTGGGCGGTTTAGTCAGCTGTTTCACTGCTGTGACTAAAGGGACCCAACCAGAATAACTGTAAAGAAGGAAAAGTTTATTTAGAAGCTCATGGATTCAGAAATCTTAGTCCATAGAAGGTCCACTCCAATCCCTGGGGCTCAAGATAAGGTTGAACATCATAGAGGAAGAGTGTGGCAGAAGGAAGCAGCTCACATCAGAATCAGGAAGCAGAGAGAAAGGGATACAGAATAAATATCCAGGTACAAAATATATATCCCAAAGCCACGCCCCAATCCCCACCTCCTCCAGCCACACCCTGCCTTTTCAGTTACCACTCCCTTAATCCCTAGCAGGAGATTAATTCACTAATTGGGTCAAGGTTCTCACAACCCAATCATTTCACCTTTGAACCTTCTTGCATTTTCTGTCACGTGAGCTTTTRAGAGACACTTCACATCCAAACCATAACACTGTGATTACTAGTGTGGACCACTATGGCCAGCATTGTTTTGTTTTTAATATAAGCATCAGCTAGATCCTGATGATCTGTCTTGGGTTCTAAGTTTAAAATATGCCTGTTTCCCATTCCATTCAGAATTAAGTCCGAGGTCTGGCCTGCAGGACTTTGCATGTTCAGGCCTTTGCTGCCCCTCTGACCACGTGCCTCTCACCTACTCTGCTCTAGCAGAGCCTCTCAGTGGTTGCCTTTCAGTGCCTCCATCATGCCGCAGGTGTGCCTGCTTCCAGGCTTGTGCTCCTGCTCATCCCTCTTCCTGGATTCCTTTTGTTGAGTTTTATTGCTTCTCCCCTCACTTTTCTTTAGGCTAATAAGACTTTTTTAGATATCTTATCTAAAATAACACTCCCCTATTCCTTGCTAGTATTTCCCATGGCCCTTTCCCTCTTTTATCTATTCATTGTTTGTTTTGTTTTGTTTTTATTTTTGTTTATTACTGGGGATTGAGCCACTGAGCCACATCCCCAGCCTTTTTTATTTTTTATTTTGATACAGGGTCTCACTAAGTTGCCCAAGCTGGATTTGTACTTGTGATCTTCCTACCTCAGCCTCTTGAGTTGTTGGGATTATAGGTGTGCACCACCATGCCTGCTTTGTATTCATTGATTTTAAGATGCATAGTTCCACATTGTGATGTCTCTGAAATTGGAATGTCTTATGATCAGTGATGTCTTATGACGTAAATTATCAATATTTTGTCTTACATAGTGATAAGTAAGATAATAATCTTAAAATTGATGGCCTCTTGCTATTTTTCTCCATAGCTTTTTTAATCACTTCTTCTATGTTTACTTTTATTAATTGATAGTAGTTAGAATTAAGGTTTTGTTAAGGTTAGAATTTTGTTTACTGTTAGTTTCTATGTATTTAGGACAATAATTAGTATCTAATACAAAATTGACACTCAGTAACTGACTACTGAACATAGTGAAAACATAAGTGAAGTGGTATTATGTTTATTTACTTGTGTGGATAATGATTTTAATACACACATTCAGTTTTTTTGGTACCAGGGATTGAACCCAGGGGCACTTAACCACTAGGCCACATCCCCAGCCCTTTTTTGTATTTTATTTAGAGACAGGGTCTTGCTGAGTTGCTAAGTGCCTTGCTCAGTTGCTGAGGCTGGCTTTGAATTCACGAACCTCTTGCCTTAGCTTGCCAAGCTGCTGGGGTTACAGGTGTGCGCCACTGCACCTGACCACATACTCAGTTTTGACACGTATGATTTGTGTTATGTATACTTAAGTTATTCAAAAATTATGACCTTTTCCAACATAATGAATGTACTAAGGCCTAGTAAATACTATTTAGTATTTTTTTTGGTTTTTAAATTTTGTATGTACTAGTTTCATCTTTTTTTAATGTTTTCTTATTTACTTATTTATTGGTTCTAATGAGTTATACATGACAATAGAAAGCTCTTCAATTTATTGTACACAAATGGAGCAGAATTTTTCACTTCTCTGATTGTACATGAAGTAAACTCACATCATTCATGCAATCATACATGTACCAAGAGTAATGATGCACATTTCATTCCACCGTCTTTCCTATCCCTTTGCCCCTCACCCATCCCCTTTGCCCAATCCTCCACTTATCTCATGCACCCCCTACCCCCCATATGAATTATCAGAGAAAACATTCAGCCCCCGTTTTTTTGAGATTGGCTCATTTTGCTTAGCATGATATTCTCCAACTCTATCCATTTACCTACAAATGTTGTAATTTTATTCTCTATTAATGCTGAGTAATGTTTCATTGTGTATATGTACCACAGTTTCTTCATCCATCATCTATTGAAGGGCATCTAGGTTGCTTCCACAGTTTAGCAATTATGAATTGTGTTGCTATAAACATTGAAGTGGCTGCATTACTGTAGTATGCTGTTTTTAAGTCTTTAGGAGTGGGATAGCTGGATCAAATCATGGTTCCATTCCAAGTTTTCTATGGAATCTCCATACTGCTTTCCAGATTGGTTGCACCAATTTGTAGTCTTACCAGCAATATATAAGTGTGCCTTTCCCCCCACATCCTTGCCAACACTTATTGTTGCTTATATTCTTGATTACTGACATTTTAACTGGAGTGAGATGAAATCTTAGTTTTTATTTGCATTTCTGTAATTGCTAGAGATGTTAAACATTTTTTCATGTTTGTCAATCGATTGTATATTTTCTTCTGAGAAGTGTCTGTTCAGCTCCTTGGCCCATTTATTGATTGGGTGGTTTGCTTTTTTGGTGTTAAGTTTTTTGAGTTCTTTATATATCCTGGAGATTAATGCTCTGTTTGACGTGTGTGTGGCAAAAATTTGCTCCCACAGTGTAGGCTCTCTCTTCACTTCGTTGATTGTTTCTTTTGCTGAGAAGAAGCGTTTTAGTTTGAATCCATCCCATTTATTGATTCTTGATTTTGTTTCTTGCACTTTAGGAGTCTTGTTAAAGAAGTCAGGGCATAATCTGACATAATGAAGATTTGGGTCTACTTTTTCTTCTATTAGGCATAGGGTCTCTGGTCTAATTCCTAGGTCTTTGATCTATTTTTGAGTTGTTAGTTTCATCTTTGATGAAACATGGTTATTATGATAGTAGTAGCTAATTTGCTTAATTTCTTTATTCAGAGTTTATATCAGTTGGGATGTCATTGGCATCTGTAGCAGAAGCTCCAGTTGGCTTAAGCAATAAGGAAGTGGATTAGTGTAGGTAACTTAAACCCAAAGGTGAAGTGGGTTTTAGCCATGATATATCAGGATTTCTTAAAACCATTACTAGGATCACCATTTTTCTTTTTCTTTCTTTTCTTTTTTTAAGTTGTTGATGGACTTTTATTTTATTTATTCATATGTAGTGCTGAGAATGGAACCCAGTGCCTCCCACATGCTAGGCAAGCGCACTTCCACAGAGCTGCAACCCCAGCCCAGATCACCATTTTTCTTTTTATCATTTGCTTGGTGTCATTTTTGTTATTCCTTAACTTTTTAAGCCTTTCTCACAGTTCTAGACTAGATTATATCTAATTTGTATGGAAGCAAGGGGAGGGTGTACAGTTTTCTAAACTGGAAATCTTGGCAGACATTTTGTTTCAATTACTCATTTGTATTGCTCCCCTCTCTTTCCTCCTTCCTCTTCTTCTCTTTAATGTTTAGTAGTCTCAGTTCTTTTGAAATTCAAAAATATCACATTAAAATTTACAAAAGTGCAGAAAAAGTAGAAGATCATTTATAACCATCTTACCTTTATAAATGCCACTAATAATTTTTATGTATCTATGTTTTCTCTTTATATGTATTACTTTTTACATATAGTCATTATATACATTTAACATTGAATTTTTAAAATTTTATTTATTTAGATGTTGGTGGACCTTTATTTTATTCAGTTATTTATATGTGGTGCTAAGAATCGAACCTAGTGCCTCACACATACTAGGCAGTTACTCTACTACTGAGCCGCAAGTCCAGCCCCAACAATAATATTTTAAATTTTGTGTTGTGTTTCTCTTCACATGCTTATAAAGTTTTTGTAATTGATGATCACTTTAACATTCCTTAACAGTTACTTGAATGTTATTTACTTAGTCAAGAAGTGCCCAGTGTTTTAGTATTCACAATCTGTTTCTGAATATTAGAAAATTTGGTGGCATACCTGAGATTAAGACCTTAAAAGAAACTGAGCTCCATAAAGCTGTACATCATAATGCCCTGCTTTGTCATCATCTCTCTGCATTTATGAGGTATTTTACTAACATTTTAACCAGAAGAATAAAACTGTGAGATGAGTGGATGGATTTTTAAAATGCAGATATTGCTTTGTTTTAGATACTGTGTTACCTTTAAAATTGATGTATCTTTAAAAGAAAAAAATAAAAAGCAGTAAATAAACATTCTATTTTCCTCAAATTTGCTTTCATGAAAAAAGGCTGTGTCACTGTTACTTTAACCCAAATAAATACATGGGTGTTATTGAGTGCTGGTTGATTTTTCATGACATTCTAAGTAATTAACGTCACCTTTAATTCATCCAGTAGCTCTTACTGACAGTATATACCACTTACTGCCTGCCCACCTTGTGTGTTTAGGCATCCTGCCAGGCTTTTAAAGTTTCTTAACTAATCCTAACAGTTGAAGGTGTACTTTTTTTTGTTCCTGTTCTCTACATGAAGAAACAAAGTCAGTGGGCTTAAGTGACTTGCTCAAGGTCCCATAGCTGCAAAATATCCCATCTAGCTCAGTATGATGCTAGAGCCCCATGTTTTTCTTTAAAAAACAAAGTACTAAAGCTGCAAGYCTTTTCTTGAGAAAATAATATTGCATAATAAGGCAATCAATGGAAGAGCGAGCTATAACTGTTTTAAGAATTTCTTAAAGTATTTTTAGGGAATTCCCCAGAATGACTTAATTCTGAGCAGATCAAGAAATACAGGGGCTGGGGATGTGGCTCAAGCGGTAGCACGCTCGCCTGCCATGCGTGCGGCCCGGGTTCGATCCTCAGCACCACATACCAACAAAGATGTTGTGTCCGCCGAGAACTAAAAAATAAATATTAAAAAAATTCTCTCTCTCTCTCTCCTCTCTCACTCTCTCACTCTCTCTTTAAAAAAAAAATACATTTCTGTTTATATTTGCTAAAGTGACTGATTTGAGTCTCATGGAATATGGATGATGGTGGATTTATGGCAAGTGATACAGTTACTGTATCAAATACACATACAGGATTAATTATTTTAGTCAAATGGATTGTAAACCTCCCAAAGTGTGGGAAGCAGCAACTTACTACAAGTTTGAAGTATGTCACTGCCACTCATTCACAGACCTGGTTGTTTGTTGTTCAGCAGATGTTTGCTGGGTTCCCACTGATGGGCCAGGCCCTAGGGCATGTGCTGCTACTGCAGTTGTGAATACATGGAAATCCTTCCTTCTTGAAGCATTCTGATTTTGGAAGCAGGCAGTAGGCAGATATTGAGAAATACTCTGGTATTTGGAAGAGAGGGAAGTCAAATTATATGGAGTGATCCAGAGACCTCTTCAAAAAGTAACCTTCAACTGGAGCCCTGAATGATATGAAAAAGTCAAGAGAGAGTGAGAGAGAGAAAGAAGGGAGAGAGAGAGATTCCAGACAGAAAATTACAGCAAGTTTGAGACTAGCAAGGAGGCCAGAATGGCTAGATCATCATAATGAGGGGAATAGTGGTGGTAGAGATTTGAGATGTATTAAGGATTTGGGATTTTAGTTGGGGTATGGCTGTTTGGAAGGTTTGGAGCAGGAGAGTGATGTAGAATATGGTGAGCAGAATGTAGGATGGCGAGCGTAGAAGGCTGTCGTAGAGCCCATGTGAAATATGTTGGTGGCTGGGGCCAGAGTATTCTCTGTGCAGGTGATAGGAAATTATTGGATTCAGACATATTTCTAGAATAGATTTTATAAAGTATGCTGGTGAATTATATGTAGGATGTGAGAAAATGAGAATTCAGGGCTTCTAGGCTTTTGGTCTGAGTGGCTGGAAGAGAGGAAATGCTATAGGATAATATTCTTTCTTTTAAACAGGGCCTCTTCATCTAGATTCTGATCCTACTGGGCATTGATTGCTTGGGTAACCTTCAGTAAGGAGCTTTAGCTGTCAGGATTTGAATCATAGCGGATCTTGGGCATGTCACTTTAAGTTCATTATGCTTAATTTTGTCATCTGTAAAATAGGCATTATAGTAGCATCTACCTCATGTGTTATTGTGCAGGTTAAGTGTGTGTTGAATGTAAAGTGCTTAGAGCAGTGTCTGACACACACTAAGCACTCTGTAAATCTGGCAGTTGTTATTTTGTGAACAATTATTTGTTTTATAGGAATAGGTTCTGGGGATAGCAGTAGGGAATAAAATTAAATAAAATATTAATGATTAATATGTTAACTGGAATAGTGTCTGCCCTGTGATAGGTGTTCACACATTTGCTTTATGAATAAATGAGTGAACTAATAAATGGCGGCTCTTTACCTCATAGGCTGTATTCTAGTGTTCCTTACTCCGCTTCAACAGTTCATCCTCCCAGTGTTTTTTCCATCCATCATTAATGGGGGAATAGGGTCCTTAGGCCATTCTTGAGATTGGGTCTGGCCTGCCTGTTTTCTTGCCTCTGAGAGTGCTGTCATTTGAATCCTGCACTTTAGTGATAAAGGGTTCTAGCTAAGTCTGGTGCACTGATTCCTCTCGTACTCCTGTTCCCGGCTGAGGTTCATGTTTCAGGAAGCCTTGGGCAGCAATTAAATGGTAATAAAAAGGCATCTCTGTGCCATTTTATTCTTACATGCTGCAACTTGGAGTATTTTTCCATTATTCTATTGGTCGTAAATGCTTCCCTCTGTTTTCCTAGGATACAGTGGCGTTCTCTTTAATTACAGTATGTCGGGGAATTAGAGGTGTAACGGGAAGTAAAGATTTAAACAGTCCCGTGATAGTCTATGTCTAGTTTGCTCCCTTTTCCTGCTTTTGCTGCCTCTCCCTTTTGCCTGGATCTGGTCTCTCTGATTAGGCCGGCTATCTGCACCTTCCATTCTCCCTGAGATATGGAGATGGAAAGGAGGTGTGAAAATGAAGGTCAAATGTGGTTATAATATTAATAGGAATGTAGATTGCAAATACAGATTGAAAATCTGTGCCTACAGATAAAGAAGAAAAAAACGATCTTAGTTGAAATTTAGATAGTATCTTTACTTTTAAGAGGAGAGACTTGAAGCATATTAGACAGAAGGTCACAGACTATTTTGGATGGGAACCAGAACTTAGTTTTGTATTTCTAGTAGGTAAATAAATATTCAGTTTTTCTAGATTTTCATTTGAAGTTCATTTTGCAGTGGAATGATATTATCTAAGATTATAATATTAGGCAACATGCATTACGTAGAAACATTGCTTGTTAAATTTCCAAGAGTATACATATAAAAGATAGTTAAAATTTGGCTTCTCTCTTGTTTCTGAGTGGCAGTGGGAGCAGAATTTGTTGCTTACAGTGGTTACAAAGGTATAAGATTATCCTTGCTTCACAGAGACACTCAACTGTCTAACTGTTTGACCGCTTGGGTAGCTGTAATCCATTAGGTTACAGTGGCAGCTCTTGAACTCACAATGGGTGTTTAAAACTGCTTAATTGTTGCAAGACTCACTGTAGACATTTATTGTCAAATAAAGGATTGCAGATAAGAAGCATGGGAAGAATCCAGTTTTAAGGTGTAAAGCTCTATTTCAGTAAAATTCCCACCTGAACTAATAATGAAAACCTGCCAACTTCACAAGGTTTTTGTGAGAATTGAATGATTAATATGTAAAGTATAAAATACTGCTTAAAAAGAACACCATTTAAAAATTTGGTTTAAGACTTAAAAACATTTTACTGGCACTGTTACAAAAATAATAAAAGTCTCTGACCTTTTATTTCTATGCATTGTTTTAATTTTGTATTTTTTAATTAAGGTATAAGGTATAATTGTATTTATTTATGGTGTATAATATTTTAAAATATGTGTTATGAAGTGGTTAAATCATATAAATTAACATAGCCGTCACCTCACCTCCTTAACATTTTTTGTTGTGGTGATTATTTGTTGATAGTTGTTGTTTGTCCTAGCAACTAATATGTAATATTAAATGTTATTTATTCTAGGGTGCTCGGGTTGGTAGAATAGATGCTTTCGTTCAGAGCTTGGACAAAAATTTTATGGTCCCAGTAGGTGGCGCTATAATTGCTGGCTTTAATGATACCTTCATACAGGAAATCAGCAAGATGTATCCAGGTAAATAAGTTATTCTTCAGAAAAGGTAACTAATAAGCAGAAACCCATTTGTATATACACTGCTGTAATAAATATTAATCTCCAAAGCTTCCTTTATACCCTCTTTAATGTAATTTGTCCATTCTTATTTTAGGAAGAGCTTCAGCTTCACCTTCTTTAGATGTCCTTATTACTTTGTTATCACTTGGATCAAATGGCTATAAGAGGCTGTTAAAAGAAAGAAAGGTGAGCTTTCCCTTTAGGTGAACTGGAGGGAAAAGGATGACTAGAATAAAAAAGGGCACCAAAATTGAACAACTTCTGTTGTACATCCATCATAAAAATGTTGGAGAATCTGTGATTGATATGTGTGTGTGTGTGTGTAAACTATTCACTAGAACAGTGTTCCAAATCACTGGTGTTTTTGCCTATTGGTTCATTCCATTGGGAGTTTAGATATATGATATGGGAATATACTCTTATCTAGATCCACTGTAGGTGGTTTTCTTTTTTATTTATTTATTTTTTATTTTTTTTTAAGAGAGAGAGAGAGAGGGGGGAGAGAGAGAGATTTTTTTTTTTTTAATATTTATTTTTTAGTTCTCGGTGGATACAACATCTTTGTTGGTATGTGGTGCTGAGGATCGAACCCAGGCCGCACGCATGCCAGGCGAGCGCACTACTGCTTGAGCCACATCCCCAGCCCCTGTAGGTGGTTTTCAATTAGCCATTGTCATCTGGTCTATCCTGATAGTCTAAGGAATATTGGATAGGTGGTTTTACTTTTATTATTTATTTATTTTAGAAAAACTTTACAAGGGGGATCTTATTTAGTAAAATGAATTTTATTTATCACTTAAAGATAGAGGTTACTAAAGGAAAAATAGAAAAGTCTTCTTTTTAGGTTTTGGAAGCCTAAATACAGTTTAGGTTACGGATGTTAATCTCAGGAGGAAGAACCAGGTCAGAAGTTGGCCAGCTTCTCATACTAAAATAATAAATTTCTCTCTTGCCATTTTTGGAATGCTGAACTCATTGGACTATGTCAGCTGTGAGAAGAAAAGTGACATTTATGTTTAAAAACTGGGCTTTGTCTTCAGTACCCAAAACTAGCTTTATTCAGGACAACTCCAGAACCAGACATTGTTGGCAGAGCAAGTCAGATTAAGGTGTTTTGTTCACCTCCCATTTGGGAGAGCTTAAAGGTCCTGGTACAGGTTTTGTGTATATTTAACTTTCTAGCACTTATTAGCTATTGTAGTCCCTTAGATTTATATTACTACTTTACATAATTTAAAACATTTATATACATGTCTGTAATCTCCAACATCTTTTAACAGTATTATGATGAATTAATAACAGAAGTTTAAAAATTTTATACCCTGTTTTACTTTAGTCATCTTTTTCCCACTCATTCAGTCCATGGGCAAGTTGTTTACTTTTTATTGTGAGGACATTTCTTAAGGTATATCTTCATAAAGGAAAAGATACTCAGGAGTCATTAGGAAAATGCAGATTGAACAGTAAGATACTACTACACAACTAATGTAAAATAAACCTGACAGTACAAATGCTGACAAAGATCATGAGCAAATACATCTCTTAGACATTGCTGGTAAGAATGAAAAGTAATATAGCAACTTAGGAGAAACTCTGGCATTTCTTACAAAGTGAAACATAACCTTAGCATATAATCCAGCCGTCTTCTACATATTTCTCTCAAGAGAAATGGAACCTGTTTTCAAATTTGGCTATTTCTGACCAGAATCACTATAAACATTCATGTGTAGACTTTTGTATAGCTATTCTGTTTGTAATTGCCCAAACCTGAAACAACTGAAATATCATCTGATCAGTAGATAAACAAACTGGTATATCCATACTGAGCAATAAAAAGGAATGAACTGCTGATAATGCAACAAAATCATGACTCTGAAAAACATTATATAAAAGAAAGAAGCCATACTCAAAATACTGCATTTTGTATGGTTTCTTTATATGCTGTCCTGGAAAAGGTAAGAAAATATAAGGACAGAAAAAAGATCTGCGGTTACCAAAGGTTAGGGATTAAGGAGGGGATTTTTTGGCATGATGAAATGTCTTATATCTTGAGAGTAAGTTTCATGGCTCTGTGTATTTGTTAAAATTCATAGAAATGGACACCTGAAATTTTACTTTATTTAAATTATACTTCAATAAATTTGACCAAATTTTTATACAGTAAGAATAAAACTGTGGTTTTATTAACTACAAAAAGGAACATCATGTTCATAGATTGTTGTAGCCAAGAGAAAAGCTCAGATCTTTCAAGGAAATTTCTCCATACATCAGATGACAACTCTTGTTTATGTATGTGTTACACTTACTGGTTTGTCTGAGAGTTTGGTTATTTCAGATGCCAAAGGTTTTAGCTATCATATAAATTAGTTGTTTAACCTTGGAAAAGTTACTTGAACTTCTAGGTTTTGTTTCCTTATTTATAAAAGAAATATAGATATATCAGGCCACTTTTATTTCTAAAATAATTTAGAGTGTTTATTAAAATATAAAGATACTCAGGAGTCATTAGGAAAATGCTTTGGACATTATAATCATGGGAGATGGTCTAATTAAGTCAGTCAGTATAAGGCACATTGGTAATTTAGAAATCAGACATTTTCTAAGTTTGAAATTTTTCGAGCATGCTACAGGGATGCTGCCACATCGATGTTCATAGCAGCACAATTCACAATAGCTAGACTGTGGAACCAACCCAGATGCCCTTCAATAGATGAATGGATAAAAAAAATGTGGCATCTATACGCAATGGAGTACTATGCAGCAATAAAAATGACAAAATCATAGAATTTGCAGGGAAATGGATGGCACTAGAGCAGATTATGCTTAGTGAAGCTAGTCAATCCCTAAAAAACAAATACCAAATGTCTTCTTTGATATAATGAGAGCAACTATGAACAGAGAGGGAGGAAGAGCAGGAAGAAAAGATTAACATTAAGCAGAGACATGAGATGGGAGGGAAAGGGAGAGAAAAGGGAAATTGCATGGAAATGAAGGGAGACCCTCATTGCTATACAAAATTACATATAAGAGGTTGTGAGGGGAATGGGAAAATAAACAAGGAGAGAAATGAATTACAGTAGATGGGGTAGAGAGAGAAGATGGGAGGGGAGGGGAGGGGGGATAGTAGGGGATAGGAAAGGTAGCAGAATACAACAATTACTAATTGGGCATTATGTACAATTGTGGATGTGTAACCGACGTGATTCTGCAATCTGCATTTGGGGTAAAATTGGGAGTTCATAACCCACTTCAATCTAATGTATGAAATATGATATGTCAAGAGCTTTGTAATGTTGTGAACAACCAATAAAAATTTAAAAAAGAAAAAAAAAAAGAAATTTTTCTTTTTAAGATGATGGAGCCTCATATTCATTTACATCCATCTCAGGCCTCCTTGCCCCAGTGACAAGCCCACTTACAGCATGGTCTAAAGTATGGACAAATGTTTCTGTGAAATGTTTCTTGAAATTTTGTCAGTGAAGTTGAGTGTGGGGTGTTTCATTGAGTAAATACTTAATTCACTGACCAAGAGAGCCTGCTCTTTTGGAGCACATGTTGCACATGGGGTGATTAGCAATAAGCAAACAACATAAAAGACAAACTCTAAGGTTTACTTGAAGGTGAATAGTGCTATAGAAATAAAACAGAGCTCTGGTGACTCTGACATTAAAAGGTCTGGGAAGAGAAAAAGGAACAGCAGAGGGGATTGAGAAGGAGCTGTCAGTTAAAACCACACAAGAGCATGGAGTTCTAGAAGCCAAGTGAAGGGAGGATTTCCAGGAGGAAACTAATACCATGGATGCAGTCAGTTAGGGTGAGATTAAGATTTGACCATTTGTTAGAAAAGTTTCTTGTAACATCCTTCTTAGTGTAACTTGGTGCAGGGTTATATTATCTCTGTGAATATCTATATGTGCACATACATTGTGGGCATATGAAATACTGACACCTAGTACTGAGCATTTACTATGTGGCAAGCACTCTTCTAGGTGCATTTTCATGTCTTCATTTAATCCTTACAATATCCCTGTGAGATAAGTTTTATTGTCACCCTCATTTTCTCAGGAAATGGGACAGAGAAGTACCATGAGTGAGATAAATTGTGAAATTAGATTTAATCTAGGCAGTTGGGCCTCTTATTCTCCATATTAACCTTTAGACTCTACTGCCTTTTTGTATAGTCTAGCCTGCTAGCTGGTAGCTGTGTAGCTACATATAGGTATAACTCTGAAGAGTTAGGTCTACTAAAATCTAAAGGAGGCAAAAACAATGAATAAATTTAGCTATTCCAGCCAAAATAAAGTACAGTTATATTTTAGAGGGAATATATGTTATTTGCGCGAGTAGAATTGCTATGCTTGGGCAGCAGCTCCCACTGATGCAGGTAGTCTTGGTGGATCAGTCACAGTGTTCCTTCCTTCTCTTTCATAGCCATGGGCGTGTGATGCGGCTAGCTTGGTTCATCGGTAGGTATGTGGAAGATGAGTCCTGCCAGTAAGTTTATAGATCCTCCAGGGATAAAAGGCCTCTTGCTTTGCACATAGCAAGTTTTAAGGATGGTTTTATGGTTATCAGCTGCCATGTTTTTGGCTGTGCCAAAAGAGATTTCTTGAGACTAGAGAACATGAGGAAAAAGAGAAGTGAATCATTTGAGACTCTGGATCCAGCCATACCTACCTGTAGACAGTTGTTAAATGAACCAATAAGTTCCCTTTTCTGTTTTAAACTAGATTTCCAACACTGATATTTTGATTCTTCCTATGTCCTCAACTCCTTGTGTCATTAAGCCATTTGTAATGATTTCAACATGTCACATCTTGTCCCTTTCTGCTGTTGTTACACCATACCCTTATGCTATCCTGGCAGGGTGGCTTCAATGGCCTGCTAACTCTTCTTCTGATCCTCAGTTGTGGCTGATTTGTCATGTTGACTTTAATTTGCAGTATGACTACATGTCATATTGTAGAGTGATACCAGATTAATATTCTAAAATATAGTTTTCTTTAAGTTACTCTGCTTTAAGTTTCCTGTTATTTGTAAGACAGAAGTCAGACTCCTTAGCCTGCCATCCTGTTTATAATTTGATCCCATATTTCTTTAGCAGTATTGGCCCTACTTATGCATTTATTAATTCAAACATTTATGCATAGACCCTAAAGTTAAACTCACAGACAAAACTGAAACAG